GCTTACCAGAGTCGGCTGCTCGGCGGCTCACCAAACACTAAGATACAGAGTGTGGTCCGCGGGCTGTCGGGAAGAGCAGCCGCGCGCACGGATCCGGTGCCGTCACTGCGTGGAGGCGCCTAAGGGCCGCGTAAAATCGCCTGGCAGACGAAATGGTTTTGACTGAAACCCAGAAAATCTCCCGAGAGCGAGCTGCGCACCTCAGGATGCGGAAGCACGTTTTCCAATAGGAACTCTCCATACATGGGCACTGGCTCCTTCCCATTCCGATACTGAGGAGCGGATTCAAAACGATTTAAGAAAAATGAACAAAATACTCCAAGTTGCTTTCAACAACTTCTCGCTCTAATTTCTTTTTTGGCCGTTTCTCACGCCCTCTTCAGCGCCAGCACTTTTAATCCATCCACTGCCAGCAATGGGTGAGGTGCTGGGAAAAATCCTGGGGCAAAAAGGTTTAGTGTAACTTAGGACAGAAATTATAGAAATAATTAGGAGAGCTTTCAATTCTTTTCGAAGGTTAGTGTAATTCAGTGTGAGACTTTCAGCTTTTAGTGTTAAATAGTTAGAGCACGTCGATGTACAGAAGGTATAAATAACTTCAATACTGTTGTTTCCGTATCTTTTAAAAGCAGCAATTGTAGGAACATTGATTTCACTTAAAAAGATAAAATGCTTGAATTTAAACTGAGGTTTTGCCTCTTCCTTCTCAGCGTAATTTTTACGTCACCGCATTTCATTCCCAGTTAATTCCACTACTCATGGCTCTCGGAGACTTGCTTCTGCTCTCTTCCAGCCACACGTCTCTTCTACCTGGGCAGTAAATGAGGATAAAATATTCCATGCAGAATTCCTTCTATAACTACATTCGGAAAGTCATCTGGAAAAAAAAAGAGAAAGGGATGCAAATGAACTTACCTTACCTTCCTCACCTACATCAGCCCAACAGACATGTTTCTGTGAACCCTGACGAGGTGAGGCCTCCCGTAATCCCGTAATCCGGGTCATGGCGTCACCCCACGGCCCGTCCGTGTGGGGCAGGTGCCACTCACGGCCCTGTTTCAGCACTACAGCCCCTTCGGCGTAGCGCCGGGCACGGCACCAACGCCCCGCCAGATCCCTGGCTGACTGATTTACAGGGATGTTCCGATACGTCGTGCTGCGAGGCCCCAGCTCTTTATCTGCATCTTTTCTCACAAGGAAGATGGATTACACCGGCAATTCAATTTCTAACAAAATCTCAATATACTTGAAGGAATTCTGAGATTGCTACTGGGAATACTTCCAAGCTGTTTTTCCGTTGTGGCTTACAGGCCGAGAAGGCTGGAGGATGCCTACACCATCAGGGATGATGATTCGAGGCAGGAAAATTTCAGGCTGTCTAATCAACATGAAGTGTCACCTGTTACGAAAAGTCATCCTAAAATATCTGCAGTGGGAAAAAAAACCCCAAACCACTGTGTTCTTGCCACAGATGTAGAGGAAACTGGCACTTCAGGTTAAATTTAGCATCAAGGAATTACCTGCTAAAACCCAGCAACAGATCCACGCAGAGGAATGGCAGGATGCACCTTACGGAAGTGAAAGCGTTTTTCAGACGCACCGAACTCCTGCCCTTTTACGTGAAGGGTTTACCCAATCAGCGGGCAGGAAGAGTAACCGCTTCTGATCACATCTTACGATCTTAAAATTGCGAGTAGGCTAGGAGATGGGTCTGCCTAGAACAGGCTGCTTCCGGTACGGGACGTGCCGAATCTTGCCTTCACCCACCAGCCTACAGGGCATTCCAAAGGGGAGATGCAACTTTCGTGAAACTCACTAGTTCTTTCATAATTCACGTCACCTAATGTGGGTAGGATTTAGGGTTTGCTCCTAATTCCTTCACTCAAATCATATCGGAGGTAAAAATACTGAGAAAAAAGCAGATTTGGACTTGGTAATAAAAAAAAAAAAAATTAGTTTAAAGGCCTTACAGGTATGAATAAGGTGATTCCAGCATATAAACAGAGTATTTTAGGATGTTTTAACGAGCTGCAACCTCCGCCATAAACAATATGTGCATAATCCTTCCCAACATCTCATAGTAAGTCGCCATTATAAATCACCTGATAATATTTTGAATCCAATAATGATTCCTCAAGTCCTGCAAGCTCAGCTATCCCAAATCACCCTGGCAGAATAACCCTATGCCGTTGTCGTTAATGTTATTAAAAATACACTTGTAAGGGCAATCTGATGCTTTCCTTCTAAATTAAGTGCTGTAGTTCCAGAAACCAGATTTTGCTGGTTCTTCTGTTAACGTCCAGCATATAGAGGAAAATGAGTATTGATTAAAAAAAAATGATACAACTCTACAGCGTCAGATTTACTGTGAGGCTTTGTTGCTTAAAAAAAAATCACGCATGTTAATTTAAGCTAAATGTACAAACACACCGAAGCTCGGTCTGACAGATCTGTGACACTTAACACGGCTTACAGAACCATCAGTTTTCAAACAACCGTCAGTAAATCTGAGTTCCTGGGGGTTCTTTTTTTTAGTTTTTGGGGTATCGTTCTCAACTCGCAGCATTTTAGATTCGTCCATTTTTCTTCAAAATACTGCACAATTCTTTTTCCCCATCCCGCTCAGAAAGAAGCGGCCATCTGAGACAAAAAAACCGACGTCCGAGTCACAACAACGCGCGCCTGAAGGGCAGCGGGGTTTGGGAGTCGTGATTTTGGCAAGCTGCCTGGCCAACGCCTGAAGTCCAGCCATTAGAGTAACGGCAGGACCCTGTTTCATACACGCAAAGGGGGTGAAAAACTGTTATTTGAGTATTACGTTCCGGAAACACCTGTTTTCATTAAAACCCCACAAATACACGATTTCCTGTTTTATGGGGAAGACACAGGGCGGGAATGCCAGGGAAGACCAATGCCGCTTCTGATCCAGAGAGCTGTCAGGGTTCACCTTCTGCAGAGTATGCAGCGTGAACCGCTGTTGGCTACAGGCGGCTTTGGGCCACGGGGTGAACAACCTCGGCTGCTTCACACAAAGGGATCAGCCTGCGAACGGGTCTGACAGGGAAGAGTTCAGAAAGCTCACCTCTACTCTCTCTCTGCTGCAAACTAAAAACGAAGAATATTTAAAGGTAGTTCTGTAAAAAATGTTTCTTTCTAACCAGACCTGAGTCAACCAGTAGAGCTCCTAGGCTTACCACCTGGTTTTCTTCATTCTTTTTCAAATGACAACTACATTCTAATTTGTGCTTTAATCCATTACGTTAAAAGAATAACCTGCAAATGATTTTGATGCTTTAGAGTCTTCAAATACAAAGAATATTCACCTGCCTTATGAAATTCTAAATACTGTGCGTCAGGGCCAAAAAATGCCTCGGCCAAAGCCTGAGAAGTGCTTTATTTCAGATGTCATTAATGAGACCTACTTGATATTTAAACATGTCACAAGTTAGAAGGGGCTTTTATCTTAATCTTTATCCCTAGGTAAAGGAACAGTTACAAAATTCATTAAAGATTCCCCGTGCCTTGAAGAAAAGGGAGCTTGGCCTTACTCGGACTACGCATTAGGGAAGGTAGATGAGTACCACCACAGAACTGCCAAATCCCGAACACAAGTCTCACAGCAGAACCTTACGTGTCGGCTGGAAACATTAAGCACTGTCCTCATTCTTCAGGATAACTGTATGAAATCCATTTTCTGCCTCAGGAATGGTACGGAATGAAATGATGCTCATAATGTACATCCTGCTCTCGGTGACTCCAAGTTTGCAATTAAGAGGATCATTAAACCTGCAGTTCTGTGTCCAGCTCTGGAGCCGCAACATCAGAAGGATATTGATCAGTTGGAGCGAGTCCAGAGGAGGCCACGAAGATGCTCCGAGGGCTGGAGCCCCTCTGCTATGGGGACAGGCTGAGAGAGTTGGGCTTGTTCAGCCTGGAGAAGAGAAGGCTCCGGGGAGACCTTATAGCACCTTCCAGTGCCTGAAGGGGCTACAAGGAAGCTGGGGGGGACTTTTGACAAGGGCCTGTAGTGACAGAACAAGGGGTAATGGGTTTAAATTGAAAGTGGGGAGGTTTAGATTGGATATCAGGAAGGAATTCTTCCCGGAGAGGGTGGGGAGGCACTGGAACAGGTTGCCCAGAGAAGCTGTGGATGCCCCATCCCTGGAAGTGTCCAAGGCCAGGCTGGATGAGGCTTGGAGCAACCTGGTCTAGTGGAAGGTGTCCCTGCCCATGGCAGGGGGGTTGGAACTGGATGGTCTTTAAGTTCCCTTCCAACCCATACCATTCTGTGACAATATGCAGACTGAGACACACAACATACCTCACTCTATGCATTAGGTATCAGCAGCATCTGGAATTTCAGAGAGAACTAACTCTGTGGGTGTTTCTGCATCGCTGCTGTCACATAGGTCAGGACTGACCTCCTGAAGCGACTACTCCCCTCACCGTGCCTCGGTTCATCGATCCGTGATCTGCACTCCAGCCTCACGTGGGCATCCAGTCCACGTGACCAGACTACTGACCAGTCGCAGTAGAAGCTAACGACCCTGGAACGCGAACCTTGGTCACGCAGGACCTCTGCACTCACTGCTTCACTCTAGAACTGCAGCTTTACGTTCCGTAGGACTCCACGGGGTCCATACTGCTGAGCCACGCTGCTACCTAGAGTGGACGCTGCCTGCAAGAGAGACTGCTTAATCCTCTTGAAATTGATGAGCCTCGTCCCTAGGGCTTGGAAAAACAGCTTGACAACAGAATCACAGACAGGTTGTGGCAGGAAGAGGTGACTGGCAGTCATCTGGTCCAACCCCTGCTCAAGCAGGGATGCCCACAGCCAGTTTCCCAGGACCATAGCCAGATGGGTTTTGAACATCTCCAAGGAGGAGACTCCACTACCTCCCTGGGCAGCCTGTGTCAGTGCTCAGTCACCCTCCCAGTGAAAAAGTGCAATCCCTTCAGGTGTTTCTATACATCCAGAGAAAATCTCAGGGAAGCACACGTCATTGGCTAAGAAACTACAAGCAAACACGTGTTCTTTCCGAAACCTACACTTAAAAATGTCATGATTTTCAAGGCAGCTCCAGAACCTGACTCTTGATTTCAACACACTATTTGGTAAAATCAAACAAAATGCCACATTAAAAAAAAAAAAAATTCTTAACTTGCAGCTCTGGGAGAAAATTCTCGCTTGGACATGTGCTACATTTTTAATACAAAAATTAGTTGAAGCAACAGTTCAAAAAAGTAAAATGACAAACCCAGGAGCAGCACGCTACTAAAAATGGTATTCTTTTTCCTGCACACATTTAATTTAAGACAGAGGGTAAATTCTCTGAATTAATAATTCAAAGAACTTTTTATTTAAAAAAAAGGGTTTATAATAAGCTATTTCAAAAACTCTTTTGAACCATGTATTAAGAGATGAAGGCTAACATAAATGTCCTGTGAAACACATAAATTTTTACTTAAAGTATACATTCTTTTTTTTTTTTTTCCCCTCCTCTAAAGAGCTCTAGAGGTTATAAACTATAAGAAATAGTAATAACCCAAATGGAAATACAAACAAGTTCGCAGTGGATCGACTGGTGTTTAGGGAAAAAGCACTTACAAAGGACTGGGCCCCTAAGTTCAGATCCTTCAGGCAAAACAGCCCAAAGGGTCAGCAGCCAGCAAAGCACAGCCATGATGTTCTTCCGTCTGCCAATCGGAATTCTCGGTAGGTTCGTCTGAGACAAAAAAATGGGGGAGAAAATTCCACCCTTTTATAAATCACCCACCCCACTCGGTGTTTTAATGGTTTCTTACACAAGAACTATCGTTTTATTGGCAGGTTATTAGATTTTGGGCCAGTGTCATTTGACTAGGCTGGTATTAATAATAATGTGGTTTATGCGGTGCAGGGTCAGATCAGTAAAGCGCCGTTAACAGATGACAGGTTTGATTACCGTTGGCTTTAGGCAAGACATATGGATCCCTCAGGAACAGCAGCACGGGCTGGTGGGACAGTTTGCTGGAAAGGTCAAGAACAGGGATGTCAGTATCAAGGGAGAGCAAACAGAATATTCTACAAACTCGCTTTGATAAAGCGAGGCGGTCGAGCCGTGCGGGAGCCAGGCCGGCGCGTTTCCCCACGCCAGCGCTGCCCAAGACGGGCAGGCTCCATCTCCCGGGAGCAGAGCTCGCCGCTCCCCAGCCACACAGGGAAACGCTCAGCGTGAGGCTGGAGGCGAAGGGGCTGCATCCCGCAGGGGCAGCTTGCAGCTGGCTTTGGGACCTCCCGACCCTGCTTTGCTCCCCGCTACTTGGTGCAATCAGGCTACCAGATCACCTGCAGCCAGGCTCGTCGGGCCACCCCACACTCAAAATTCCATCACGTTCTTCCATCCCCCAAAGCGGTTGCTGTACACCTCACCCATGGAGAGAAAGTCCTTGGAAGGCCCTCACAGGGCTCTCTCCCACCATGGCCGCGGCACAGACATCCCCCTGCCAGCGCCAGCCCCCTCTG